AAGACACATCATTATTTTTGAACAATGGCAAGATGTTTATACATAACGGGAATGCTTTTCTAATTGGGCCTGTCATTTCGTAGGACGCCAGAATACACCATGTCATTTTGGACTGATTACAAGAATAAATGAGACATGTTGCAGATTGAGTAATCCTATCTCCTAGACCTAGGAATTATGCCATTCACTTTTTTTGAGAATTTTAAGGATATTTTATAGCATTATTTATCAATAAATCAATAAAAAACAGTTGCTGCTTAATCACTAATATAAATAATACAGTAACCGTCTAATAATTCATAGACAGTTTGTTCGGTCAGCCTACTTACATATTCCATCATATTGCTGCTTTCACATTTTCTTTTACTGAGTTTCCAGTGCAGCCCCAGCTGATGAGAGAAGAAAAGACACAGACACAATGAGTGACCATCCCTCTCCTTCTCAAACAGACACAAAGACACACACACACACAAACAAAAGAAAATCTGTCTGAAATCTCCCCTTCAGTGTCGGGGGCATTTGGGATCAGGGCTGTCTGGCCTGGCCGGGGTCAAACTGTGGCCAGACACCCTGAAGAGCTTCCTTTATGCCTCTGCACAGCTACTAGCAGTAATTTGTTGCTGCGAGACAAAACAAAATTAACACGGCATTTTACTGCTGACCTCACGGCCCTCTCAGACCTCCAGCTCCAGATCTGACGCAGCTCTGAGAGACTCGCGTGGCAGGTTAGAGTTTCCAAAACAGATTAATGGTCATTATCCGTCACGATGATACTCAACTCACTGACACGGACACGGACACTTAAGCACTTTCACACAGGTGCTAAAGTGCAATCTGTCATCCTCACCTTGTGGTATAACCGGTTATTTTCCCACTCTAGCAACTTATGAATGGATCGTCTTGTCTGTAGGAAAAGAGAACAAATATGTGTATGTTAATGCTAGCAAATGTAATACTTTACAGGTATCAGTAAAACAATACAGTGTCAGGATTTATGGACTACACTCCTGATTTACCAGCTAGTAATTTCCACTTTGTTGCCATTAAATGTGAGTGGTAACTCCACCTTTAAATGACACACCCTTGAACAGAGCAGGAGAGGAGCTGTGCAGTGCAATGTGTCATTTCTACACAGAGCCACTAATTGAACAGGAGTTGTTATTACCCTCTACACTCGGACCAATGCGGCTGAATTGCTATAACAGCCCCTGAGTAATCAGCGCTGATGTAAGGGAGAGTTAAACTGTCCGACTGGTGTCACAGGAGGTCTGGGACTCACTCTCTTGTTGAGGCAGATAACAGGCCACAGACTGCAGCCTACTGTACAGCAGCAGCACAGGCAGCCGCAGAGAAGCCACTTCACATTCACAGGCAAGTTCTTCTTCAAGCAGGCGTTCACCCTGGTGATGCTGGTTTTGAATTCCTCTGGCGCAACCTAAAAAAAGAAGAAGAAAGATTGTATGTGTGCATACAAAATATACTCCTAGAGGCTCTATGTAGTTGGGGGGTTTATCAGACAATTGAAGCAATAACCTAATTAGTAAGTGCAAGAGGGGGAGAGAAGTGTTTGTAGGTGGTGCTGACATGAAAAGATCCCTAATTGCTCAAAAGAAAATCTGTGCACAAAGATCAAAGAGCTTTAGAAAAACCAACAGGTAGATATTTGCAGATGTTGTTCAGAGATGAGATCTCTAAAGACTATGCCTCTGGTTTGCTAACCTAGCTCCAGACTGTTCAAGGCAAGGAGGGACTCAAAGGAGAGATAAGCTCAGTGCCTGTGGCTGCGCCGGTCAAACAACTTGAATGGATGCTCATTCCTCGCAGAGTCTGTACGCCATAAAACAGGGGTCGTAATCTTTTATGACAGGATGCAAAGGTCTCTTTGCAAACAGCCAAAGACCTCAGAATAAAGCCCAGCAGGGCCTGATCTGCAACCTTCAATCATCATAATTGTGACCTCATCCATCACATGTCACCCTGGGTCACAATACTGAAGGTACTTTTTATTGCACCACACTTCCCTCGGCCTGCTCTTACCCCTGCAGCCTTTTTGTGTTTCTGCGTCCGACCCAGGAAGCTTTCCTTTCTTGTCTACGGCCGAGTCTTCATTTCATTATTTTATCACCGGGAGCTGGACCCTCCAAAACACTGGGGTCCCCGCCAACTGATCCCCATAGACGGCTTACTCATTTACAGAGCTGGACAGCAGCACATTCAGGCTCTTTTCTATACACTGTGGTGCGTTACTTGAAATGCAGCTCGGTCAGATCAAAACCACTCTGGGAGGTTTGAATGGGGCAGTTTGGGGAAGTTGGGGCAGTTAAAGGCCCAACAGAACAATTGGATCACTGTGGCTTTAATTGCTTTTCAAATTCTTTCTACTTGGAATTGAAAACAAAGCAGCCTGCAGGAATTAAGTGCAAGAACCTGAAAAAGCAACTGTACCTTTCCCGTGAGAACAGAGGGAAACTCTGTGTCAAATCTGTTGCTCAGTCCAAACCTGGAAACAGACAAACAAAATGTGAGCATTGATATACAAATTAAAATGTACCTTAAAATAAGAACACAATATGCTATTAAAAAGGAACATAAGAACAAACATAGTCCAGAGAAAAATACATTTAGTTTGACACACGAAGAGACTTAACGTGCTTATTCACAAACTATACAGTAATAGTTAGCATTATGAGGAGTGGTACATTAAATCCCCCACACATACACATGGCTGGCAGAGTCCAGATGAGTAAGCAAGGACTTACAACCTTCCCCAAAAACATTTACAATTTATAACTAGGAGGATAGGCTTTCAAGCTTTCTATAAGATGTCAGACTCTAACTTATTAATAAATAAGTGGGCATACTATACACATATTTATATTTAAAAAAAAAAAAGTATATAATATATATATTGAAACAACAACAATGGCCGGGATAATCTCTGTTGGTCTGTTGGATATATTGTAGTATATTGTATTTAACTTTGCCAGAATATTTCCTCATGTTGGTCTTTCCTGGAAAAGTCAAAGCTCAACTATAACTTCGTGAAAGGTAACAGATAGTGTTGAGTTTTAAAATGTATATCCCCACTTCATGTCTAAAAATCCAACTTAAAGACATGTTGCAAGCTGGGACTCAGCATCTGCTAGTCAGGTTAAAGCTGTGGCTGACAGTGACAGTAATGAACCTTTTTTGGCTTGTGGACTTTTGTTATGAATACAACTGACTTAATACAACATATTGGACGACTAGCTTTACTTTTCACCCTGTAGAAGTTTAAATGTTGGTCAATTAGCTAAAATACCCACGTAAACAATGATGAAACCTGCAACAAAGGCCACTTTAGACAATACTTCAGACGGTGATTTTGTGTTGACTTTAAAAATAAACTATTATGTCCAGTAATGATGTTTTAGTCTCGGTGAAATACACATTACATCCACAGATTTGTAGCTAACGGTTCCCCACATGTAAACTTCCTAACTCATCTCAGTTTAACTCATCAAAATCGGTTGCTAGTCTAACACATGCATGGTTGGTTGCCATGGGGATATATGACTGTTACCGTTGGTTTACGTGTGAATATTGTTAAAACCAACGGTCTCCTTGAACAAGCCCTTTGCTAACAGTTGTTGTGTTTGGCGTTAGCTAGCAGGCTAGCATGAGCTAACCAGGCTAAAGGATGAAGAAACCAAAACAACAAAGCGTCCCCGCGGACAGACCGGAGCGACGAACAAGGCTCTGCTTACACTGTGATGTGTCCGGCCCCCCGCATCACCACGGGCTCCAGACAGTATCTGGGCAAGTGTTCCTCACTCACTACCTGCTCATCCTCTTCGTCTTCCAACTCATAAATGGTATCAAAGTCCGCCATGTTGGGTAGTAAGACGCTCATGACGTCTGCGGCGGAGGGGCAGCGCGCTGACGTACGAGCCTGCGCGCTGAGCCGGAGTTTATGGAAAGTAATGATCGCCCCTCAGAGGGACCAGAGATGATTTATCACCAAAACTAACATGACATCTGTGACACATGGCTTGCATATATAATAGATGGTAGTGGAGTCTATTCCCATAAAATAGTAACTGTTTGTAACATAATGGAAATAATAAAGGGCATATATTAAACGTGTTAACTTGTTTATTATCATCAGGGAATACACTTCTTAAAGACGTGGACAGTCAAAGTCAAGAAAGTCAGTCTAGCCACCTTCCAATTAACATGTCACTTGTACTAATTGCACACTTTAAACTAATAACTCTGAGCCAGCCTCACTTTAAGCAGCCAAAAACACACCTATCCGAATGTAGGCTATGTTAAAATGTTTTAGTCTATAATTAGATTTCAATTCCCTGTCATTGAATGCTAAATGAAAGTCCACCCACTGATGACATAATGCCTTTTTTTAGGTGTTTTAGACATGTATATTATATTTAGAGTTAGATTTAATAAAACAGGTAGGCTTACCATTAACCACCATAATGTTGATTGCTTTATTCGTTTGTGGACACTTTTACTGTTTGGGGAGTAACATGTGGGCCATTTTGCAGACTATGAACCAGCATTAAAGGTGTTTGGTAAAGAAGGGTAATTAGAAAGTCTGGTATTGCGCTTTACCTTGGATTACAGTCTATTCAGGCTTTGCATAATAGCCAAATTAAAAATAAATGCGTTGAGTTGACATATGCATTTGCTCACGGTTGTAAATACAGTTTTGGAAAGAGATAGCCAATTGTTGCAATTTTCTTTTGCACAATTACACCACATTTTCAAATAGGCAAAGTAATAAATTACATCTTGCTTACAGCTATTTTGAGGCTTAACTTGTTCTGTATCTGAATTTGTAACTTGCAACAATATGAAGTGTATAAGCCGATGGAGGAAAATGGCTTGCATGCTGTAGATCTGTAAAATACTAGGCTACTCAAGAAAAATGTAAAATAAAAAAACGTAATGCAATGGTTAAAAAAGTTAGCAATATTCAGAAATAATAGAAATGACAGGTGTACTGTAAAACAACATTTTATTTACATTTCGCCATGAAACGACCGTTCTACCCGTATCATTAACAGCTGTTCCCTGCTTTACTAAAGCGGATAATATTGTGCTGAAAACGTGTAAATGATTTGTCAAGTCAAAGCCGTTTGCATGGCGAGCTACATACAATCCAGTTTAAAAACTTCATTATAATGTCCCTGAATTCTCATTTTATTCACATACACTTCTTCACATACAAAAAACGATATTTATATCTTATTAACTCACAAACAAATTTAAAGCTTTTAAGTTTGAAACACGTCGATTTTTTTGTTTTTCTTTTAAATCCCCACGTTATTAGAACTATTCTATATTTTAAAAAAGCAATATTTCAAGAGCCTCCAGTATTTCGTTGCTATAAATGAAATCTTTATCCACAGCTTGGTGCTTCAGGACGTGAGTTCAGATCCAAGTGTCCTGTCAGCGTGTCGGAGTGCTCAGTTTTGTTACATGGTCCGGAGTGAACTGTTACAGATTCACAGTCACTTGCTGTATATTCCTGATAGATGACATGTTCATTCCCGGAGGAGGGTACATAGAGTTGTGGATGTCAGAGGGACTGAGCGAGCCCGGCACCGGCAGAGGGCTCACTGATCCCGGGTCACTGTGCACAGACCCCCCGCTGCCGTCAGACTGACCCAGCTTCTTCTTGATCATTTTCCTCTCCTTGGCTCTGCGGTTCTGAAACCAGATTTTCACCTGAAAATAGGCGTAAATATTTAGTTTACATGGGCGTGGGCAACTTCGTTTACTCTCCAAGAAATTCCAAAACCCATTAACAAATATTCAAAAAGAGCTAACGAAATACACAAATGGTTATTCCTGGTAAAAAAAAGTATGTATTTGTATAATGACTTAGAATAATGAACATTGAATAGCCTATATATTTTAAGGTCAATTTTGTATGCAGAACTTAAAGGTATGGTAGGTAAGAATGGATGAATGAATCGAAAAAAATCTGCCCCTTCCTTCAGACTTCCTTACAGATCCCCTCCTCCAACACACACGAACGCGCACATGACCTATGAGGGCACGAGATAAGTTTGTGCACGAGATGGAAGGCAGGTAGGTCATCCAATTATCTGCCGCGGGCCGAGGAAGATAATTGGACCTTCTTTTTACAGCCCCACGGCTTCCACAGATGAAATATTTGTATATATTTATTGTCAAAGCATATTCATTGCTATCGGGATGTTAAGAGCATTCAATGGAATATAACAAAAAGTGTTTCTGAAGTTAATTACATCCCCTACCTTTAAAAGCAGAAAATACCAATAATGAACTGATCAAAACATATATTAACTCGTTAAATATACATGCCATTTATTACTAATCAAAATAAAGTAATAAAATGCCAAATGACAGATGGATATGACATCTAAATATAGTACATATGCCTAGGCTATAATGAAAAGGCTTATATTTCACATTCCATTTGTCATTATTTTCTCTTAACATTCTTAAAAACTGTGAATTTCAAAAATAAAGATCAATACAATGTTGTAATTAAGGATTCGATTATATCATGAAATATGAAATAATTAGAAATATATGTTATATAACAAACGCCAATTTATCCGGCATTATGGTATCTTAAATATTCAAAGCAAATGTATTTTGGTCTAATAATGTAAATAAGGTATCCAATATGTTAATGATAATATTGACTTTAGGCCTCACTTTTTAAGGTAAAAACAAGCCTACATTTTGATGTGCTGTCCATTAATGCTCATACAGATTTCATATGCCATTTACACATTTTAACAACAATTGCAGTCAAATAAAGCATGCAGATATATTTAATTCTGATATAAACATACCTGTCTTTCCGATAGACCGAGGTTGACAGCCAGCTCAGATTTCCTCCTGATGGTGATGTATCTGTTGAAATGAAACTCCTTCTCCAGCTCCAGCCTCTGATGGTCTGTGTAAACCACCCTGTATTTCTCCTTCGTTCTTGTTTTACCTGCAAAGGGGACCAAAACAAAACAGCGTTAACATTTGGTTGTTTTCCTTTTTTTTTTTAGCAGCCAGGCTGTTAAACTGGACGATTTACACAGAGGAGGCTGCATGCCAGGACCGGCCTATCTGCACATAGCATCTTTATTAGCTGCCTCTTAAATCCACATCTCTCTGCTTTCTCTTCAGATACGCAAATTGAGCCTTTTCATCTTGCTTTGATGACAACTGTAGTACAGTGCATTTCAAACCCCCAGCGATCAGATCTTCTGCTGACAAGTTAAAAAGAAACGCACTACACAGGAGATAAGACAAATATCTGAAGCAACTTCATAAATAGTGCATTGGTGGATTTGTTTTACAGGCCTATTAAAGCACTGTCAACTTTTGTATGTAAGCAAGTTAAACAAAATGGCTGACGATTTCAAATTCGAAAAAAAGATGGACATCTATATTCCACAATAGACTATGGGCCAAATTCATTTAATGGATTTAAATAAGCTGGTCTGTTTTATTCTAGGCCTTCAAAATGAACGAATATTCAATCTGTAATTCACGCCACTTTAAAGGCCTACAGTTTGTAGCTACTACTCCATGTTTCAGACGCAGGCTGTGAAAAAACGTCACTCTTTCCGGTAATATAACTCTTGGAGAGGAAGGGAGGTTGGTGCATATCAAAGTGAAGAGGTGTTAAAAGCAAAGGCCACCGCCTGGATATGACGGATAACACTCCAAACACCAAACAATGTGACAGGGAAGTCGACCTCACATCTCCAGGAATAATGACATTAACATCACAACTGGGCCTGGCGCCGATTCCTCACACCTTTTTATTTCCACCACAGAGCAGCAAACATGTTTTCATGAGTGAGCTGCTGGCATTTATACTTTTCAGAATTATTAGATATGGAAAATCTGTCTGCTGCGTGTCTCATGCAAATGCATTATTATATTGCATATTCAATCAAAACTTTAAATATTCTCATTCTGGGTATTCTGTTAAATTTAAGTAACCAGCATTATGCAAGTGTCAAAAGACCAGGCTTTCCTGCCTTCCATTTCTGCCGAGTTTTTACGCACCGTCTCCTTTTGGCATTTCCTTCCAAATATAATCACTTCGTTCAACTGATGCTTAGTTTTTGTTTTAAAGTAATACATTCGATAGGAAAATGTATTAAAAAAGACAAGGCAAAGTCAAACAACTCGAACAGAAACACAAAACTTGAGTGCGTAAAAGGTTACTGTTGCAAAAACCAAGACAATCGCATAAACCAAGTGTGGCACAATGTTACAATTACTGACCTGTAGATGATGATTGCGCAGTTTTACTCATCCACTGGAATGAATTGCGTCTTTCTCTATCAGGAGAAAGCTGTGCAACATTAACGTTTTCCGGCGGCGGCTGTAACACCGCAGATCCCGGAGGGTGCATGTGACTGTACTCGGATGAGCAGTAGGGAACTTGTACGGGAGAGGAGTTGTTCATGGGTGCAGGGATAGTATTAGGTGGTCCCAGGCTGTATGCACCCCAGTCTTCCCGTGGAGCTCCATAAGTGGCTCCCCAACTCCCCGCAGACTGTGCGTGCGTTTCCATGTTTGGCACATGATGGTATCCAGTAAAGTCTGGGTACTGAGGTGTCGAAACAAAGTTCTGTGGAGGCATATTGATGCTCGATCTTCTTACTGGCCCTTGGTGATACATGCCAGTTTCTTTATCCAAAATGTATCCCACATACATGATTTGTACAAAAAAGAATTAAATATGATCACAACAGCAACAGGGAAGATGCAACCGATTTCAAGGCAACATTGTAGCCCTGAAAACTGTTAAAAACAATCCGTCTGCTGTTTTTATAGTCCAAATGGGTTCCCAGTGTGAAATGCGACGTATAGTTCCAGTCTGTCTCCAGTCTCACATGATGTGTCTCTGTTGACAAGATGGTAAAGGTATTACTAAGGCCGGCCTGACGTCAGCCAACCCCTCAACTCTTGGCGATTTGCATTCAAATGAAAGTGACCGGTGCTGCTGGCTCAGCTGTCCCCTTGCGCCTGTCCTGTAGCGCGTCATCACCTGACAGTGGGCCTATCCCGAGCAGGAGCTCTGCACTCCGTGAATACATTAACACCACGGCCTATCAGCTGCACATGCTGCACAGACCCGCAATAAACCGAGGCAACACGTCCACAAACGCACCAAGCAAAAAAAGGCCTGTGCGTAATTGCGCACAGATTTATTTGTATTACATTGGAAGCATTCCTTTTTTAGAAAAAAAAATAATGGTGTCAGAGCCTGTTATATTATAACAGATGATATATACACCACACGTGATTTTGCACGTTATGTCATAAAGTTGTATCTTTCTATATTAAAAAAACAACAAGTAGCCTATAATTGCTTATGCGTAAAAAAACTCTTATTCAACCGTTTCCATCCACGCTTCACGCCCAAATCCCGTTTTTATTTGTTAAGAGATTCACTTGCAAACGAGGTGCAAAGTATGAGAGACCTTTTTCTTGAAGCAAGCCGGACCTTTCGTATTCCGTGTTCACACCTCAAGGTCGCACTTCACAGCTAATTCCGGTTACAAGGAAACTCCAACAACCCCCTCTGTGACAAACAGCGGCCTCGACACATCAGTCACCGCCGTCTCCTGAAGTTACAGTGAATTTATGTTTACTGTGTATCGTGTCTAATACGTGTCAGGCGGCTCAGGGCCGTTAAAAATCTAAAATACGCTTTTGGACACAGTCACTCAGTTCCTTTGAAGTTTGTACATGCCACTTTCTCGCTGCAAGCATGCACTAAAAACTAAATTAATTCAGGTCACATTCAGTTTATGAAACCACAAAATCACTGAGCATTGTTCTGAAATGCAAGATATAAAACAAAATGCTTAAAACAATGCTTTTTAAAAAAAAAAAAACTCAATTTGAGGCCTTAGTCTAAGCTTTACTCTTGTGCACCTATTCATCATTATAGCCTGCTCGCAACATTTAAGGAGCAAACACTTCTTCTACTTCTTATTTCTTTATATGTTTATGATTTATTTGGCAGGTGTCTGATTTAGCAGAGCTGGCGTGTCTAAGTCATACATGCTGATGGTTGTCCCTGACATCCCTGACAACTTTTTATTAACGACAAAATGTGGGAGAGACAGTCTATTCGATTTGCTCTGCCACAGTCTGATGTGTATGTGTGACTGTGAGTCAGCTGTCTGTTTAAAGACATATCAAGTATGACACAGTCTTTTTGGGAGGCTTTAACAGAGACTTTTTTTACAATGAGCAATGTAAAGCTTCCACAATAACAACACATAATGTGTCTCTCAGAGGAGCATACACTAAAAGGAAACTACTTGTGTGCTCAACGTACAAGAGTTTCTTCTCAGGCCTCAGGGTGATGTATAACACTTTATGCACAAAGATCTTTGGAACAATTGACCTGTGTTTCGCATTATAAATCTTGAGCGTTTTTTTCTTCTTAAACGGCTCCCATTAAGGGGTTTCATGCAGAGACTTTCACACACACAGTGTGTGGCTTGTTCAGATTAATTGCTGCCCTCTTGTGGATGTATGTAGAACTACCGCTGCTGTCCTGATCGTTGTGATCAGTCTGATTGCATTAGTGGTGGAAACTAAATAACTAAATAAGTTTCTAACTAACTCACTTACATACTTACTAAATACACGTACTCAAGTGCTGTACTTAAGTATACGTTTCAGATAATTGTACTTTAATTGAGTATTTCCCTCTTCTGCAACTTTATACTTCTACCATTCAGAGGCAAATATCAGATATCTTAATGTTAATAACACCAAACATATTCAACAAATTAGGTTTACATTTTTTGTTTTAAAGTGTTACAAAGTTATTAGAATGGGCTGCTGCAATATTAAATTAATGTACACATTAATGCATCAATAATTATAATCTAATAATGTATTTCTTACTTGTGAAATGGGAAAATCTGTATTTGAAGTATTTTGTGACATAAATCATTTGTTTAAAAAGTATTTCAAACGGTAGTATTAGCTTTACTTAAATAAAAAATATGGGTACCTCTTCCATCACTGCTCACCTCTAGAGGACGGTCACCACCAACACAAATATTTAAAGATTTCTACCATAATGTACATCCCATTTAGATAACTACAGAAACTGCATTCTGCATAACAAGTTACTGTGATAATAACATGTTAAATCCACATGCTGCAGTCTGACTGCTTCTAGGAAATATATTAAAACCACTCTTCTAAAATTCCATTAGATTAAAGCCCTAACATTGTCATAATTTAAAGTATATTTATTTATCCTCAGAGGCATTTCGAGTACACCTTTAATTTGACTTACAAGAAATGAAGCAACACATTGAAAGAGAAACCATCTGACAGACCTATCTTGATTAAATATGAGAATGTGATTAGGAAATAGGAAACAGTCAACCTAATGAGTAATGAGAGGAAGTGTGATTATTCATAATATAATCACATGGCATTTAACTGTAGGATATCTCAAACCACATGATTGCATGAACACAGTGGTGATTGAGAAACATAATGCTCCTGTATAAACATGGCTGCTGTCATGTTCCCCTGTTACTCAGATTCACATCTGTTCCCATTAATGACTACATCCGTTTTAGTCAAATGTTCAACAAGAAGAGACAGATTCAGAGTTACAGATACAATTACGCACATCGGTGGTGGAAGAATTACTCAGATCTCCTGCTTTGGTTAAATAAGCAATTCCACATTGTGTTTCATATAAAAGTTCTGCATTCCCTGTGCCATTTAATTTGTGTTTAACGAAAGCTGTATTCGTCTGCCTGTATTGTCTGTGTTTTATCTGTTGTAACTTTGTTCATGGTGCCCTTTTTTGGTCAGGTCACTCTTGAAAAAGAGATTTGAATCTCAATGAGACTCAGGAGTGTCAGGAAATGTAAATTATAATCTCAACAGCAAACTGGCTCGATCACATTTTATTTAGATTCTGGTGTGTAAGGTGCAATTCATATAAATTCTGATATTACAGACACGCCTTTTAATGTTAAAACCTTTCTTATCAGGGTGTAAAATGTGTTGTCTATATCAAATCACATCCAAATTCAAACTAGAGAATGCTATTCCTGAAGAAATTGCTAGTGGGAATGCTTTATACTGAAAAGCTGACGCTAAACTGCTATGCTGAAATGTAATGTGTAGAAGAAAGTGAATAATTTAGATTGCAATTATACATGAACACTGGGGGCTTGAATGTGTGATGAGAGAAGAAAATAAAGTAAAAAGGCTTGGAAAAGCAGCAGAATATTTGAACTGCAAACTTTTGAACTAACTTGATGGTGAATGATCTGTCGCCATGCCAACGGCATTTGATGACATCCCATAATACGCTTAGATGCGTTGATGGCTGCATCGTTACCAAACCTGTGAAGTTTTGGGCCATTTGGATCATTTTCACTGAAGTGCTGTCCCGTAGATGTCTTCACGGCTGGACTGTTTGCACACGTGAAGTTTGAGCACTTTTTGAACATTTTCAAAGGAGATATAGCGACATCGTCTTTCATGGCGAGGGATGCGTTTCCATGGAAACGGCATATGATGACACCCCATAATTGACGTAGAGCTGTTGAGGGCAGGACCATTACCCATTATCTGAAGTCTGCTGCTCTGAGCATGTCAGTTGGAGTTATGACATCATCGTGTTCCGTGACACAGGTGTTTATATTTGAGCTAATGAGTGTCCAGAGATCAAAGGTTTCCATGGTGATCAGTGAGAGGAGAGCATTTTCATTGTTCTGAATGAGAGATAAACCTCTTACATGTGAACGTTTTGTTGAAGAACCGTAACAGATATCGGGGAAATTTCAAAGCGTGAAGCATGTCAAGGAACTTGAGCATCTGAAGTGTACTTTTTGTGTACTTTCGGGTTAATAATGTGGCTTTTTGGCAGATTAACTAAAGGTGTGCGGCTGCTGTGGTGGGGAAAGATGAGGCTGAACTTACAATGGGGTTTAATGGAGACATGTTGAAAGTTTTTGTCACTTCATGCCCTCACGAGGCATTTTGTTTAATTATTTTTTGCTTAATTTATTTTTATTTTTCAAGCTACGAGATGTTTTCCTACGTTTCTCATGAAAAATTATGTCTCAGTAATGTAGGGTTTGGGAATTATGGCAGGTTTAAAAGAATATATGAAGGCAAAATTAAATCTGTCCTCCACTGTGACATCACGCACTCTAAAATCTGAAGAAAGCCTCTTTACCAAGGTCTGAACAATGTTTAATATCTCTAAAAGTACGAATCAGATTTAAAAGTTGTGTTACACGAATAATGTCAGAAAGATGTGTAACATTTTAAAGTTGGAATGAGGTTTCTGAGCAGTTGAAGTTGCATGAAGATTGTTTAAGTCTGAAGAGTTTCTCCATTGACTTCCATGTTAAAAATGTGATGAATTATGGGATGTATCTCTGGAATTATGAAAGTTATGAATGAGAAAAGTAATAGCCATCGATTCCCGACCGAGCTGAACGTTTTGATGTTTGAACGGAGTTTCTGCGATGTGGAATGTGGGAGAAGAAGAGGTGCAAAATAACCCGGCGGAATAATAAAGAATTTCGTGCGTAGCATAACAGATAGTTGGAATGCTCTATCAGCATTCCCACTAAATAATGTGGCAAATCAGGTTTGTGGTGCCTTAGTTTGGATGAAGCAGTCAATTCCCTCCATGAAAAAAACTGCATGTGTTCACTAGATGGCGCAATTGAGTTAGTTATGCACTGTCTCAGGTTCTCTGATGAATGTGGAGGAAACAATTCATTACTGCTTGGAACCTGTGATGGATAGTAACAAAGTACATTTACTCAAGTACTGTACACTTTTGAGGTACTTTTACTTTACCTGAGTATTCTCATACTACTTTATACTTCTACTCCAGTACATTTTAGGAGCCAATATTGTACTTTTTACTCCACTACATGTATTTGACAGCTTTTGTTACTCGCTACTTTTTAGGTTTAGAATAATAGATCA